GAAGTTTTTTTTTTTCTGTTCTTCCCCCCCCCCCCCCATTACCTTGAAGTAATCATCTATATTTAGGTCAGTGACATGATGAAAGATGTTTATGTGTTTTTACCTAAAGCTGGAAATTGCCTTTCCGGATATCACTGAATGGAAAAAGCTAATGGAGCCTTCTTGTGCTTTCATTGCTTTTGCAGTGGTGTTCTTGTTTTAGGACTACGGCATGCAAAGCATCCTTTCCCACCACATGGCTCTCGGCTTTCAGCTCCCTCTGCATCCTCTGCTGGCTTCCCTGCATGGAGCAGACTTACAGAAGGGCAAGGGGAAGGTCACAACAAGTTGTTTTATTCTCCGACTACCTGGAGCAGGCATTGTCAGCTCTGCCCTATCAAGTAGAAAATGTGGCACTGATAAATCCTGTCCACTAAGGAGCCAAGCCTTTTTAATATGCAAGTGCTCAGTCAAAGAAAGTAAACAGACATCTCCTTCTGCAGGGAATTACTAGACAAGCATCTCCCTCCCCTTACCCTCCTTCCTTCCTCCTCCCTTCCATTTAAGTGTAGGAAATTCTGCTTGCTTTATTTGATAAAGAGGAGGAGGGGAAAAGGTATGTACTGAATCATGGTTAAGCTGCTGTCTTCTACCCCAAGACCTTTCAGTCTAGCTGTGCTTCATTAGTTTGATAAGCAGACACCAAAAAGGGGGAGGGGTGTGGGGTTTGCATGAGGGGATCTGCCTAGGGGCTGCCCGGAGGTTTAAGAAGATGAACTGCTAATGATGTTGAAGCTGTACCTTTTTGGGACCTTGGCTCCTGGAGGAAAAATGGGCCTTTTTCGCTAATTGTGTCGTGCTCAGTAGTGTGATGGAAAGGGACTCACAGGGGAGTGAAACGGAATGAGTATCAGCTGGGCTCTTCCCCTGAGCAGCCCCCTCTCTGCTCCTCCCCCAACCCAACTCTCATCTCTTTAGCAGGGTATCTGGCATGAAGTCATCCTAAATATCAGGAGATAACATTAGGAAAAGAGATTAATTCGGTGGGTCATTTATTTGGACAGTCTGGAATGATCCTTGCAAACTAAACATAGATTTTAACGAATGTTGTCCAAATTGGCAATGCAAATGTTTTGATGAATAGCTAGCAGAAAGACTGTGAACCTTGGATGTGGCCCCATGCATGTGCAAACACAGGATCTAAGGACTTTTGAACTTTACTTGCTCTAATCCTATGCCAGCCCCTTTCCTTTCTGGCAGGTTCAAGTCTCAGAAGGGGATAACCTATCCCCGCCGTGCAGCAGGACATGCAGTTTTTCACTCGAGGTGCTATTGCGTGTTTCCAGGTGCACTAATTTTCCTTTCAGCAGCTCACTTTCACTCAGATGCCGCCCCAGTTGAGAAAGTAAAGTGCAATTCCCAGGTGCCCTTGTTGGCATTTCCTTTCCCCTGCACCAGCATCAAGCCCAGCTCAGCTAAGTGGTGCTAAACTGTCAGCATTTCAGCTCATAAAGCCTGGCATGCTCTTTGTGTGCTTTGGGGTGGGAGTGGTTGGTGGTGGACAGGCTGTGCCATGCTAGGAATTGGAGAACCTTTCCAGACTGCTGCCCAATGCCACCCCAGTCAAGCCCACATTTGCTGGGCACCTCCTCCCCTTGGAGAAGGAAAAAAAGGCAGCTGGAGGTGTTGCTTGGCACTTTGCTTTCTCAAATGCCAGTGGGCACACCAAGTCTGGACCTTGCAAATTAATGGGCCTCCAATCTCAGAAGGGACCTTTTTAACCTAAGCATAGCATTGTCTTAAAATTGCGTATCACTGCCGCAATTGATGGCTGGCTAGTCAGCTACAGACAGGCAGGAATCCCTGGAAAAGCCATTCAGCAAAGGGAACACAGGTGAAACTTCAGGAGGCAGCTAGGTACCCAAGGAACTGTCCCAAATGTGAGATGTCCCTACTGTCAAAGAAAAAGAGCAAGAGATATGTAGTGTCTCTGGAGCACTCCAGCAGCACAGGAGCAGGCAGCAGGTTTAAAGCAATAAGATGCTTTGGTTTGGTTTGGTTTTCTTCACATCTACTCAAGCTGCAGAATCCCCTGCTGCACGCTGTTGCAAAGGCTGCATGTAAAAGGAATTAGATAAATGCATGAAGGAGAGGTTTGTGGTTGAGAATGAGATTCTGCTAGTTCAACACAGGCTTTAGCACAGGATGCTCCTAATCCTCTGATTGCTGGAAGCTGGGAAGGATCCCAGGGGAAGGCTCGCTCTGTATTCATCCTTGTTCCTTTCACACATTCCCTAAGCATTCATGGCTGGCTACTCTCAGAGATGGGACACTGGCCTAAGGAAACCTTTACATGTAAGACCATAATGTTACACTGACAGGACAAGAGTAGGGTGAACACCTGCACTGGGGTATGGTGGGATAACCTGGGCAGCCCAGGCTGTGGACCACAGCTTTATGGAACTGCTGCTGGTTGTAAGCAGTTCCATACGTGACTTCCTCAGCATCCCTTTGATGGGGATGGTCAAAGGGGAAGCACTGCCAGACAGTGCAATAAATGCTGATGTTATATGTGTTGTAAACCACTTCACAGGGAGAGGTGAACATTTCCCAGGGCGTGGTGTGGCAAGGTGGAGAGGCAGACTGTTTGAAGTTGTGATGAACTGCTTCTCTTCTTTTCTTTTCAGAAACAACTTTAGGTAGTGGGTGACACAGACAACCACAACAGTAATTTCTTAGTCCAAAGGTCATTCAAGAGTTTTTGCCTACCTCTCCTCCCATATCACTGCTGGTTCACCCCCTTGCTCAGCACATGTTGCTTTTGCACCTCTGCCTTGACCAAAATGCCTTCTCTGTCAGCTCCCAGCAGCAGTAATGGTCTGGGGAGGGTGTAGGATCTCCCCCACTCATGGGGAGTGTGGGGCAGCCTATTCCTGTAGAGAAAATGTGCATTGCATGGTGTGGTGGAGAGGGGACTGTGCCTTGGTCCCTGTAATTACACCCATCTGTTACTTCCCTGTCTCTGCTGCTGCTGAAGAAATAGACAAAGCATCACAAGTGTGATTTAAGCCCCTGGAGAATACAATGGCTTCATTTGAACAAGCTGAGCTGGCCTCTAATGCCCCCCTTTTACTGCCCCACTGCTGCACGCTGGGCTGTTGAGGGCTGCGCTTTCACCCAGCCATCGGCTCTCGCTGCTCGGTCATTATTAACTCTTTGCCTTTTTGTTATTTCTGCTGCTGTTGTCAGACTTGTAGGAGGGAACAACATCAGAGCTGTTCCTCCTTTCCCTATCAAAGTGGCTGGTTTGGGAGTTTAGTGCCTTCCACATTAATGGGACTGATAAACTGGTTTTGCATTGCAGTCGCTCTTGTGTTTTGTGCCCTCTTGTCATTGCTGTTGACTCATCAGGCTGAAGTGTCTGAGCCTAATTGAAGCAGTAACAATGCAATCAACATTTCTCTCTATTTTTGTCTGCATCTCCCCCTCCCCTCTGTTTTTTATGCTGCCTGACATGCTATTTCTGGGGATGAGAACTTGGCACCCTTACGAAGGGTTGCACTGGGAGGGGACTGAGCCACAAATGGAGCAAAGCTCACCAAAGGTAACAGGGCTTCGTTCTCTCTCTTGGTAATGCCAGACTCCCAACATTATACCCATCATCCTCGGTGTGCTTCCCTTGTCACCTCTCCCTGACATCCTTCCTGCTGCATGGAAAATGCTTGGGGAGAGGGAAGTAATTCTACAGCAGGACCGTATGGATGCACCTAATTACCATAAAATTATCATAACCCTCTTTGTTTAAGAGTACCCAGCTCTCCTCCTTTATCCAAACAATGGGTCCAGGGGCAGGGAGAAGTGACTGTTCTTGGTGAGATCTTTTAAGAGATCAGTGATGAAGATGCTAGCTTGATCTTTGAATGCCAAAGTGTTCATCCCTGACTTCAAGAGTAGAACTGAGCCCTGCCAACTGCATGCTTAGGTGGCAACTATTCTGCAGCAGGTGAATGACACATTTTCAAACGCAGATCCCCAGCATGAGGTAGCTGTCTATATATAAGTAGCCTGATTTCTCAAGGATGCAAGTCCTGGAAGTAGCAACACCTTTATCAGTCAGAAATCCTAAGACCTCAGAAAAGTCCCCCACTTTTCCTCAGGTACTTAATTGGAGGCTTTGAGATGTGACTGCTTTTGTGTTAGTTTTGAGAGCAGGGCCAGGATTCAGGCACCACTTCTGAATGTGCTGATTTGACCAGGATAAATGTGCTCCATCTCCTCACACGGCCAACTAAAGGGCTTGGTGTGGCAAATGTATTAAATGAGAGTGCAACAAGGGACAGATCTACAGCAGTCAAATTCCAATGGCTTCTTATGCTGATTTTATTTTCCTCTTTGCTCTACAAGTGCAAAGAATGTCCTGCTTGTGTCAGCCTTTTTTTGCCCCCAGCAACAGCTGAAGAAGATGCATCTGCACATCACCCAGTGTACCATAGAGCTGTAGCTGCATCGTTCTCTACCATTCCATTGGGAAGCTAGAGAAGCCAGTGCAGCTGAGTCAGGGACTTAAGAAAGGCACATTCCCACTTTGCTGTATTCTCTTCTGCTTTCTCGGTTCTTTTTCATACCACTTCTCCAGCGCCAAATTTGCCTGGGGACAGGCAGAATGCCTGTAGCTGGGAGAGTGATGCCAGGGCATGCAAACTGGAAGCTCTTAAGCTTCTGTAAACATGCCCACCTAGGGAAAAAGTAGTGTGGGAAGCACAATGGAATAAGAAAGAATATGTGGCCATTTTGTGGAAGATTTCTTATCCATGGCCACTTTCATTGCACATAAGGGCATTTGCAGGGGCTTTAATGTGCTTTGCTCCTCTATGAGCATTGAAATACAAAATTAGTTTTGTCTGGGTGTGCCTGAGTGTCCCTAAGTAGGCAGATCCCAGCCAAGTAGACCCAGCAAGACAGTTTGTATTGCAGTGTGTGGCAATAGCAGTCTGGTTATCTCTGCTAGAAGCCAAAGAGCTAAAAAGGTCTCTTGAGTGGAGGGACAGTCTTGAATCACTCTAGCCCTGTCCAGCTGGGCCATGCTTCTGACGCCTGTCCTGGAGGGTGCACAGCACCTTGTGTGGGCAGAGTAGTGAGAAACAAATGGATCTTAAAGGTTTGGTATCTCAAAGGTATGCCAACTGGCTTTGCTATGTCTTTTCTTCTGAAGTAGATTAGGGTTGCTATTGTTGATGGCAAAACTTAAGGTGTCAAGAGGAGAAAGAATGAGGGAAAACAGTGTGTTTCCTTTTTCTCCTGTCTAATGTCTTGGTGCATTTAGCAGTGCACGTGTGTAGTTGGTGTCTGTGTTTTTTCTGTGTGGTTGGTTCCTTCCCCCAAATGCATGTTTAACTCTTCCTTGAAGTGATGGCAGGCAGAGGATCATCTGAAAGTATGGACATGTCAGCAGAAAAAAACAAACTACTGCAGGCACCTGGGTAGGTGAATTTATTGAAAATACTTTAGACCGGTGTCTGGCAAATGCCTGGATTTTAGATTGACAGAGTCCTTTGCAGGGAGACACGCCTCTCCTTTGTGTGAACTATACCGCCCTGCATCATCCTTCTGTCACCTTTCTAGTGTTGTTATTGGACTGCTCATCTCTATTTTGTGATCTGTTTAACTTTTTTTTACACAAAATTAACATAGTCCTCTCCTCCTCCCTCCCCCCTCTGCAGTACAGAGAAAGACTGCTGCTTTGTATCAAAACCAGAACTGGTTTTAAGGCAATACACACAGATCTAGACCTCTAAGCACTGATGCTGTAATCTCTGCTGGCATCTTCAATAATTTTATGTCCTCGTGGTAGACTTCGCCTCACAAATATACATACAAAGCTCAAATTGTGTTATTGAGAGAACAAATGCTTTGAAATACGTTCAAAGAACCAGCCACTGAGCGAAGGAAGGCGAGAAGCAGCTGACTTTGCTAAATACTCGTTAATACCTCTCGCTGTTGGCACAGCCTGAAGTTCTAATCAGCTCTGTCTGTGTGTCTGTCTCTGCCCTCCACATTTGCATTTGTTGGCGTGTTTTCCTGCCGTGCAGTTTTGTCTGTAGCTGCGTGTGCCCCTCGCCTGGGCTGCTCTGGGTGGGCCCTGCTCCAGTGTGTCCCAGCATGTCTGCCTGTGCCTCCTTCCCTGCACAGCCCTGCTCCAGTGTGTCCCAGTGTGTCTGCCTGTGCCTCCCTCCCTGCACAGCCCTGCTCCAGTGTGTCCCAGCGTGTCTGCCTGTGCCTCCCTCCCTGCACAGCCCTGCCTTCCAGTGTGTCCCAGCGTGTCTGCCTGTGCCTCCCTCCCTGCACAGCCCTGCCTTCCAGTATGTGCAGCTCCCAGCTGCTTGCATCTCTCCCAGTGCATCCGTGTCCCTCCCTGTGCTTGCCTTGCCTGGTGGCAGGACGGGACGTGGGAGGCTTTGAGTGCGGCGGGGGTGGCAGCGTTTTACACTGAAGTGGGTGACTGTGCTTTTGCTGAGATGGAGACTCCATCGTTTCCCTCTGTCAACCTAACAGGCGCTTGTACCGGGGAGGAAAAGCTGTTGCCTTGGTGGCTTCAGTGAAGTGAAATAAAATGCTGCTTCAAACCGCTGGGAGTGGGGGATCATTCTCAGATGTCAGCTCCTTAAAAATGGCCTCACTTAAAATTTATATGGAGGGAGGAAAATGGATTTTTTTTTTCTCTTACAGAAGGAGCTTGTACCCTTTGCATGGTGTTGGGTTTCTCCTCCCCCGCCCCCCAAGACCCAGGCAGAATGCTGCGCTCCAAGGGGAAAGGCCTTTAAAAACAAAACAAAAGGCAGCTGTCAATTTAATCCGAGCTCACTGATAAAATTCCAGCAGAGTTCGTTTTTTTTTCAGAGATGAAATAAGAACCCTGGCAGGCCCTCTTGACTGGCCACATAAATCATTCGTGGTAATTGCTCTGAGAAAGATGAGCGCAGGGAGGGGGAAGGCGCCTGCGCATCCCCACCCGGGTACCCCCGCTGGTGGGGACCACCAGGCCTGAGGGGCAGCGACCTGCAGCAGGGGTGGGTGCTGCAGCCTCAAGGGGAGAGTGTGCTGCAGAGGATAAATAATAGGGTGTCTTGTCGCCTGCTCTTTGTTGGTCCTGCTTTAATCGCCCTGGAGGGATTAGGAGTCAGACAGGGGATTTTGGGAGAAGGGGAGGGGGGTGGGCTGAGATGGAGGAGAGGGGGGAGGGAAGGATGGAGGTGCAGGGAAGGTGGAGAGAATGAGATGGAGGTGAGAGGAAGAAGTAAGAGATTGATTTAAGTGGCTAGCATTTAGTGCACCGGCGGCACAATTTCAATTAGCTAATGCCTCCTTCGGTCGGTGCGTGACTCTGCATGCTCCTTGTCACTCCGATTAGAAGTGGAATGGCCATAAAAGCATCATGCTGGGGTCTGGTGTCAGCTTGCTGGCTGCAGCAGTGCAGGAGGACAGCTGCTCTGGGAAGCCGCAATGCTGCCCTTGCCATTTCCCTT